ATACAGCAAACTCAATAGACACCAATTTCCTATGAAATTAAGTGACACTGATGTTCGCAGATAAATGCAATCAGGTACGTAAAACACCAAAACACTTTCTATGTGAATGTGGGCCTCTTATCAACAAACGTAGTATTTATTTGGGATGACATACAATACGCCCATAGGAAATCAAATCTCTAAAATCTAGCAACGTTATGAGCTTCTTGGAAGCTGACGGGCTAAAAGAGATTCTTTAACTTGGTGGCGAGTCACAATAGATTTGATAGGTTGCAGTGACAACAGTTCCATTATGACTGCATAGCCCCAAAAATCTTAAATAATAACATTAGTCTGATTAAGTACTTCGAGATTTTTTGTCAGTTTTTTTACTAAAGAGCAATTTACACTTAATCCGGATATAATCCCGAGATTCCGATTGTCTTATTGTAATCCCGAAATCCCGGGATTAGAAATAAGTAACGAGATCGATTCCTCTAGCACTCATAGATGATACTCTTTTAGTTTGATTACAGTATCGGATTCAAATCGTACGGTCGCTATTCCGGATTTGAAATCGGATGGTGGGCCTCGCATGCCGAATGATTGCTATGCGAGATTTGAATGCGAGTGGAGAGCGCGGACCGGAAGTTATAGGATGCCGCAGGTTTGTATCACATATTGGGTAACGTTGCGATTTTTTAATTTCTTTCAATATTTGATTTATTTATGTGTGTAATAATTTATTATACATTTTTTTTACTTTTGATTTGAAGATAATGGGAGTTTTATTAATACGCAATTTCATACAAATGGTCACATCACCTCATTATAGTAAAATAACACTTCTTTCTAATTGTATTGTTTTTAAAAGGGGTGAAGGGTTTTTTAGGTATACTACTTCTTCGGACAGGATCGGAGTCTATTTTATCCAGCTACTCTTCCAGATTTGTTCTTTCGTTTTTGCTTTTCGCACTTCTACTGGCTAAGTGGGTTTAGGGATAGGGCAAGGTAGGAAACGTCCTCAGTGCAGACTCTGGTAACTCATGCGTCTATATGTAAGAAGATCCATTTTAGTACTGCATTTCATTACTTATGCTATCTGATGTCATGATATACTTATAGCTGATTCGCACACCATCGACTATTTATATACCGATTTGTAAAACTGAGCGTTTTTGCCATGGTAATGTTTCATGAATGAAAACCCCATTCGTATTTTTTATTTTTTATAACTTTGTTCTGTATAAAATACTTATATAAATAAAGACCTAGCTACCTTAAAATAAATAGTGCTTCTAGGATTTTGTAAGAATGAACGTCGTATGAGTCGCATGTAAAAGATCTTACGTTTCTTTGAAAAGTACATGTAAAGGCGCTCCGCTCTGTAAATACTTCTTTCATAACTTCGTCACGGAGTGCCTTTTTATTTTTTAATTTGTTTAAGTATCTTTGAACGCGACTGAATGTTTACATGTTACAAATCTTCAAGAAAAAGATAACTTCACCGGAATAGGTATACTATTTAGACAAATATACCACATATAAATATCTAGAACATTATACTGCGTTCCTTATGAACTTTTTATTTATTGTTATTTCAATAGCTATCTTTTTATATTTCTCAGATGCATCAAGTATGGTGAGACCAATGAAAAATGATTAAGGGCAAGGACTTGGTTTCCCTGGCCTTATCTAGTGCAGTTGCCTAGGGGCTGGCCTTTACGCACCCATTGAAAGACTGCATTGTGGGTGGACTGCAGGTCATTTGGTGTGGCCGCGGTCCGTTTGACCTGAGGACATGGATATTGTTGAGTTTTTAGGCTTGTACCATACTGTCTTTCGTATACTTCACTAGCACCTTATTCGATATATCCCGTCCTAGTGATTAACATAATGCTAAATTGAAATCCTACTAATATCATAAATGTGAAAGTTTGTATGTTTTATTCTGCATCACTCAAAATTTCACGGATTTAGATGAAATTTGGTAAGAATAAGCCGCGGGCGGCCGCCAGTTTACAATAATTTGCTTCACTTGAAAGAATCAGTATATTCTGCATTGCAGAGTTCGAAATAAAATTTAATAGGTAAGTATAAAGTAAGCGGTATAGTTTTTATGATGCGATAAATTTTGATGCGGCCGAAATACTAACAGGTGGTCTCACAGTGAGATGGCTATCGTATCGTAACCATTCTTTTTTTATTGTACACATTTCGGACATAAAGCCAGCAATCGTAACATCGAGGCATCATAATAAAATACACAGATAAACTGGTATAGTCAGTATATTATTGTGTTGTGATGTGACCTCCCGACGTCTCAGAAATTCGCAAGAAAATCTTGCTATTGAAACTTTGTATCTTTGTATAGCTGCAGGTATTGTCTGGATTAAATAAAGTTACATAAACATAATGAAGAAATAAAAAAAGTTATTGCATAGGAGCTTGATGGAGCAGGTGGTTAGCGCGTTCGATCTGCGGTCGTGGAAGTTAAGCATTTATCGCAATGGCCAGTCATTGGCTGGGTGACCAAGAACTAATTATAACGAGCTTCTCCGTGCTTCGGAAAGCAAATTAAGCTATTGGTCACGGCTGCATCTGCAGTCGTTAGCAACCAATCCGCACTGGGCTCGCGTGGTGGGTTATGGCCTATTCTTCCTATTGCATCCATAGGGAAAGTGCCCCAATCAGTGGGAACAGTAACAGGTAGATGATGATGACCTGCATAGGGTTCAAAGTATTCAAAGATGCTCGTATTAATAACTTCATCTTAAACCTAAAACAAAAAATAATCCTTCCATTTTTATATAAGACAAATTATTAAATTTCATTTAATCTTTATATGCCATCGGTCACAAGTTACCTGACCTTATAGGTAATTACATTAAACGTTATCATACGCCTCACCCGGTAGCTAATTGATTTAAGGGGAGGGATCTAACTGCCTGTGATTTAGTTAACTCGCAGCAAAGTTGCCTTGGTCGGGAACCTATTAAACAAAGAATAAGTAAGCAAGTTAAAAAGTTTCTACAAATTAACGTGAGGTTTTAGAGCTATTGCTCAAAATGCGGTCAACTTTCTTGCGATAATTCTTTTAGAAAACAGCTTAATAAATTATTATAGAAATAAACCAACAAAGAAGGGAACACACTCACTTTACGTGTCTAACTTTTTTTTATCCCCCTCCCTAAAAGCAAAAAAAAAATTTGTCTGTTCTGTGACCAAGCGTGGTATTTTGGGTACTGTCACGTAGTATGGGTACATTGCCAAGTATCATTACCAAATTAGTCAATATTAATAGAATATCTATGGAATAGCAATAGTCTGTTAAATTGATAAGCCAATGTGCCTAATTATATCGTGAAATTATTCTACAAGGTTGACTTTATCATTTTGGAAAAACTCATAACATTTGGTTCAGCGGCTTGCTTGATAACACAACAGTCTGAAGTGACAACAGCCAATAAGTTACACTTTTGAGTTAAAAGTATTTAACTGCTAATGAACTAACTTTACATTTTTTGAAACATGTATATTAAATTACGTTCTTCCACTTAGGTATTCAAAAGGCGGGTAAACCTTCCGTTCAGAGACGGCAGTAGTAACTAGGCTTGCCAGATGGCTGGGAAATCCGGGATTGTCCCGTAATTTTGCGTCTTGTCCCGTGTCCAGTAATTAGACCTTATTGTCCCGCATTTCGATAATGTACTAGTTTGGTTACAAAATAAACTTATAACGAATGACACCGCTGGCCTTTTTGGTGTTTTAATTCTGGGGGGTGATGGGGGGTTTGATTTGATGCTTTTCAGGAGGGGGGGGGGGGGTGCAAATCTTCGGGAATTGATAAGCCAGCATCTGGCAACCCTAGTGATAACCTTGGTGCTACAAGTGTCCATGGTCGGCAGTGGCGGCACCACATACAATCAGGTGGACTGCCAAAAAAACAAAAATAATACAATTGAAATTTCCGTGAAAAATGCCGACGAAAATCAGACAGGTGGTTATACTTTCCTTGAAGTCTTTGTTATACTTTCCTTTTATTTTGTAAATAGGTTCGGCAGATGACTTCTACTCACCTGATGTTAAGTGACGGTGGACTCCAGACACAGAGATAGCTGATACAGCTTAGTTCTACCTGCCACACAAGCCATCCTCACCTTGCCGGCCTGCATATTGTTTCTTCACGCTTCTTATATGAAAGGTAAAACCTAAGCTGGCAAAGCATTCCCTTTGGGGATAGTGCGATAAAGTATTTTATTTGTCTTATTTAACTTGTATTTGCTCATTGCTGGGTATATAGTATCAGCAGTCATCACAATATGTGGAGTTCACATATAATTGAATTATGAATTATCGTGACATACCTCACCTGCAGGACATAAATTTATAGGAACTATCAGCGCACGTTAACTACCTACCATCATAGCTACTAATTGATTTAGAGACGGCAGACCCTAAGTGCCTTTAATGTAGTTGGGATGCGTGAAAGCCGTTGCCGACTTACCTGAGCGATATCTAAAGTAAATTTTATTTAAAAAAAGGTCAACTCGTCGCACTTTAGTTTTTGGCATAGGTTTATGGAATTTATGATGGGTAGTTTAGTTAGTAGGTACTCTCCCCCTCGGACCACGAAAGTGTTTAGACGTGTTCACCCGTACATGTATTTAAAAAATAAATCCAAATAATATATTTCGAAAAATCCGCAACTTTAATTTGGTGAAGTACCAGGCGGGCATAACGTTAAGGAAGTGCAGTCTCGCTCGGCGCAGTAGACAAGGACACCTGCAAGAGGCAGCTATAGTTCAATAAGCTACTCTGTGAAATGCCACTGACCGTGCGTATACTCATTCATTCATAAGTCATACTTCGGTGCTTACCATAGTAATAAGCGGAAGCGACAGCGACTAATATTATTATTAAGGTTGATGCAGGTTAGCATTTCAAAATTTAAAATCTTGTGTGAAATTGGATTCTGTGACTGAGGCTTTTGCTTTTGCTTTTGCTAAGAATAATCTAAAATGCCGAATTTAGCACGCTCACCACCGTCATTGTTAAACCAATCGCTCAGCATGTCAGAACCCGATGTTAATAGGATGGTAGCGACTACTGCCGCATTGGAGGATTCTGGGCTTACTCATTGCAAGCAACGTGACAGCAAACGCAGAAGAATTGCCGAAGAGCAAGTAGAACCAGAGCGAGCCGACTTTCGAGCAATTATCCGAGAAGAACTTCGAGATTTTATGAATACCATGCAAATACAGCAAAACTCGCGATTAGATATTATAGAAAAATATATTTCTGAAATTAAATCTCAAAATGATCTCATTCACAGCAATAACCTTGACATTGAAAAGTCTATCGAGTTTTTAAATCATAAATTGGACGAACTACAAAACACAATTAACCGTCTAGAAACAGAACGTAAACAAATCTCATCCCAAATTATAAACATAGGTGATAAATGCGACACTTTGGAGAGACTGTCAAGAAAAACAAGTATACAGATAAGAAACGTTCCTAAGCAGAAGGGTGAGACAAAAGAGAAACTATTTGAGATGATAAAAAAACTTTCTACAACTTTAACTATCGAAATTGAGAAAACAGAAATACGTGACAAATATCGAATACCAGCTAAAACAGAAGGTGCCAATTCGGTCATTATAGCCGAATTTTCCTCAACTCTTATTAAGGAAAGTATTTTGGCGGCAGCTAAAACGCACAACCTCAATTCGAAAAAGTATAAAACTGAACAATTAAACTCCGCACATCTTGGCTTGGAGGGACATAAAGAGGAAATCTACCTGTCTGAACACCTCACTGCCCAAGCTTCGAGGTTATACTTTCTTGCACGTGACTTTCGCAAAACAATGGATTACGCATATTGCTGGACTTCAAACGGGCTGGTTTACTTAAGAAAGAAGCAAGGTGCTCCATATATTTTAGTGAAGAATGAGGCTCAACTACACCAAATGAAAAACATGTGACTAGTGAAAGGTTTAATAACATTTTTAACATTTATATATTGTAAATTTACTACACATACAGAATTTGATTTAATTATAAGTTACAAGTACAAACATTTTATAAACACAAAAATACAATCAATTTACACACTAATAGAACACAAACTTACTTTATATTTTATGTATATAAACTCAGGACACATACAAATACACCGAAGAACTTACATTATATCATTTCAGAGTCTTATTAGTCATTCATTATCATTATATTCACACAACATTTCGCCATTGTCTTGCAGAACTTGTCAAATTGTAGTATATTTGGTCACTGTCAAATGTTATGAGCATATTTACAGCCTAATATATTTAAACCGACTATCCATTGTCAACAGCAAATATAGATAGCCAACAATTGTTTGATGATATCGACGCATCTTGTACAATTCCCTGTAAGGTTATTGATGATCCAGATTCTATTAAGCTAGAACTTGACAAGGTGAAAAATTACAAACAAAATAAACTAAACATAATAACATTCAATATTAGGAGCGTTAACAAAAATTTAGACAATTTCTTAATATATATCACTAGGTTGAAAACAAACGTGGATATCATAATTCTTTCGGAATGTTGGTGTGACGAAAGTTCCATCCCACCGATGATAGATGGATTTAATATGTACTTTTCCAAACGAAGTTTCAATCAAAATGACGGTGTTATAATGTATATCAACAGCTGCATCAATGCCATTGTGCAGGAAATGGAACTGGCTGAAGCTAACTGCCTAGCAGCTAAGATAGGAAATATGACAGTATTTGGGATATATCGTCCATACGGATTCAAAAATCTTAACATATTTTTAGATTCCTTAGACACACTATTAACTACAAACAAAACGCGAAATATAGTTCTGACAGGAGACATAAATATTGACACTTTGGATACTAATAATACAAATGTCAGAGATTACTTGGAGATCATAGGATCTCATGGATTGTATAATATTATCGACATCCCGACACATGGTCGCACATGTTTAGACCACTTCATGAGCAAAGTAGCTGCTAAACAACAATGTTTCGTACTCACAGCTGACATAACTGACCACTATCCCATATTGTTAAGTATTTCGAGCTCTCTAATATCTACAATTACTAACTGTGAATCTATTACAAGAACTAAAATAGACTATGGGGCCTTGGAGAAATCTATTAAAACAAAGGACTGGAAACCATTCCTATCCATTGAAGATCCCAACATAGCTGCAATAACATTAACGGAAACACTACAAGAGCTTATTATACGCCACACATCTATTAACACATTCAGCAAAAGAAAACGACCGCTTAAGCCATGGATAACTGTTAGTATCATCAAATGCTTTAAAACCCGAGATCAATTGCACAAAATTACTAAAATGTTTCCAAACAACCCTGAACTAAAACATCATTATATCAAATATCGTAACATTTGCAATAATACTGCTAAGCGTCTAAAAAATACCTATTATAAAGACAAATTCAACCAAAGTTATAAAAACAATAAAGCAACCTGGGAAACAGTGAAGGAACTATGCAATATAAAAAAACAACACTCTAATTCCTCTTCCTTGCTCAACATATCATCATCTCCACATGAGTCTCTGGATATGGCCAACCAATATTTTACGTCTATTGGTGAAAAACTAGCTTCAGAAATATTAACGAGAACCAATACGAGTGTCCCTAAACTAATACAAAAAAAATCTTCGATAAATGCTAGCTCAATGTGCTTACTTCCTACAGACTTTGTGGAGATAGACAAAATCATCCTCAATCTTAAAACTAACAGTGCTCCCGGAATAGATTCTATACCAACAAAAATTCTCAAAAACTCACATGCCATCTTGTGCACAATGATAGCCCACTTGTGTAATTTGAGTTTCTCGACAGGCATTTTTCCAAGCATATTTAAGAAAGCTGTTGTTGTTCCGATTTATAAAGGCGGTGACGCGAAATCGGTATCGAACTACAGACCAATATCACTACTTAGCACAATTAGCAAAATTATCGAAAAGACCTTTAACATCAGATTGGTAAAATTTCTTGAACATAAAAACATATTAGCTGGCTCACAATACGGCTTCCGATCAGGTAGAAGCACTGAGGATGCAGTATCTGTACTGTCGGGGTTAGTCACTAAAACACTTGACGACGGCGAGCGATGTGTAGGCATCTTCCTAGATCTCAAAAAAGCGTTCGATACCGTTTCCATACCGATACTCTTGTCGAAGCTTGAAAACTTGGGCATTCGTGGGCCCGTATTGGAATGGCTTTGTGACTACCTCACAGGCAGAAGCCAAGTTGTTCGAGTGGGGAGTGTTTCCAGCTCTGAGTCACCAGTAATGTATGGTATACCCCAGGGAAGCACTCTTGGCCCTACACTGTTTCTAGCCTACGTCAATGAGCTCTGCAACCTTAAACTTGATAATGGCAATATTCTGGCGTTCGCGGACGATACTGCGCTAATTTTCAAAAATAGAACTTGGGCATTAGTTGAAAGGTCTGCTGAAAATGGATTAAGGAAAGTCATAAAGTGGCTGGATAACAATCTGCTGACAATTAATATACAAAAAACAAAATATGTATGTTTTAGAATCTCTGAGGCTACTAAGCCACCAATCCACTTCACTATTAAAGCCCATTCATCCTTGTGTGACCTAGAAATTAACTGCAATTGTGAACTCCTAACGCAAACAGATGACCACAAATATCTAGGTGTAATAGTTGACAAGAACCTAAATTGGCACCCACAAGTAACAGCGATAAGCAAAAGGATAAGGAAACTCCTTCCCATTTTTAGGAGCCTCAGAGATGCCACCGACCACAAGTTAATTCGTAAAATTTATTTTGCCCTCTGCCAATCGCTTCTGACATACTGTGTTACGGTGTGGGGTGGAGCAGCTGCCTCTTTTCTCCTGGAATTAGAAAGGGCTCAGAGAGCTGTGATCAAAGTTATGTTCTGTAAGCCTAGAAGATATCCAACCAAACAGCTCTACGAGGAAACTGGGCTTCTCACTGTTCGACAGTTGTTTATATACAACTCGGTTCTCCGCTACCATAAAACCATGGATCCTACGCAGCTGCCCCTAAATAAAAGACGCATTCGTACTCCTGTCCCAAATTGTAGAACAGGGTTTGCTAGACGACAAGTACACTTCATAAGTCCATTTTTATATAGATATTACAATGATTTAAACAGCATTATTAAACTAAATAGAAATAATCTTAAAACTGCACTTCAAAAAAGTTTAAAAACGCTAGATTATAAAAATACAGAAACGATATTCAAAATAATAAGTTAAACATTATAAGATGCACACACACACACACACACACACATACACACTCACACCCACACACACATACACATACACACACTCACACACATAACAAACTCCTTTGGCTATTCCATTGAATTAATAACTTAAGAACAGTTGTCTGGATTAATAAATTGTTTACTAAATGGTACACAACTTTATGAATAGGGTGGAGGGTTGATTACCTGAGACACAGGATTCATCCTAGTTCAGGTGTCAACCCACCATAATCTGATCAATACGTACCTTTTATTTTTGGTAAAAAAAAAAAAAATGCATGCTTTTTATATCATTGTTTTTATGTAGCCATTAATACCAACATTGTGATTATGGTGAGAAATAAAGGTTATTATTATTATTATTATTATTATTAATAAATATTAACCTTTTTAATTTTTTAAACATGTAATTGCTCGATGTTTAGGTCCGCGTGGATTTTTTTCTGGTAATATTTTCTTTGGATAATAAATATTATTATAAATCCAGCCTGTAAATATAAACCTAGAAAGTAAGTAGTTACTTATTTATTATTGTCAACCAAATATACTTTGCTCTTGCATATTTTTAAAATGTTTAAATCATTTTCTACATACGACAGTCTAAAGAAAAAAACAATGTGATTTAACTTTAATACACTTGTTTTTTTAAAGTTGAAGTCAATTTTTAAGTCGAATAAGAAAAATGAAAAAACTAAACTTTCAATGCTACCAGCATAACCAATGAAGTTTGACAGTTACGATGACATAAAGCGGTTCGATATCATAGACAAAACATCTTTCCGACGTGTGGCAGTGCACAGCAACGCCCTGCCCAAAAACAAACATTACATGAGACAGAAACCATTTAATTTTACTACTTATACATAATTGGGTTCTTATTGATACATAAAGGGACACCCTAAACTGGATTTAAAAAAATATAGTGAAAGAATTTTTTTAATGAGAATGTAAATTGTCTCGTGCATCTATACCTACCCATTGACTAAGAGTTCAATCCGCAGGTTAATTTCTCCATTCCTCCCATTACGAATACAAAGGAACTACTAAGTCTAAATTGCACAGCCTCATCTTTATTTTTGTTTTTCGTATTAAAATAAGTCGGACAAACGGCATAACGTGCTTTCCGAAGCAGAGGAGAGTTTAAAACACCTAGTAAATGTTTGGTCAACTCATCTGTGACTAGTCATTGCGCAAGTTGCTCTATTTACTACTGCGCCATCAAAGTCCTCAAGTACTAATACGTAGCGACAAAAAAATTAATAGTTTTATGAAACCATATCAGAGGCGAGAAAAATGGGCAGCAATATAGAGGAATATCAAGAGCATATACTTTGCTATATTGGTCAAACAAAAGGTCTACATGGAGTGGGCTTTCTAATAAAGAAAAATCTTAAACAGAATATCATTAACTTTACAGGAATTTCAGAAAGAGTTGCTGTGCTAGAGTTAAAAATAGAGAAGGATTACATTACAATTATTCAGGTCTACGCGCCCACAGAGACCTCAAGTGAGGACGACATAGAACGCTTCTACAGTGACATCAGAAAAGGACACGAAATTGCCGATACTGCCAATATTGTTATAGTATTAGGGGACTTTAATGCAAAAATAGGAAAGCCAAAAATTGAAGATCAGCTAATTATGGGTAGCTATGGGTTCGGGCA